ATGAAGCTTCATATTTGGCATGGCCTTGTGATTTGATCGAGTATTATTTATTTCACATAATTTTTTTCGGGCGGATAGAGAAATTCGTAAGGTCTGCTAACTTGTTCCATTGTCAGAATTTTTTTGTTCGAACTTTGCATCAATAACAACAACAAACTAGTGAAGTATTTTCACAAAAATATATGAATATCATTAACTAATTCAATAAAATAAATATCTTGTTATGGTTTCTTAATTCTTGCTTTCAATTTTTAATCCACTCTATGTTATAGGTATTGAAATTCAGGCAAATATACTGTTCTGATCTCAATTCATACACCACATACTTCTATACACTTATGTAGGCCAGGAACTCGTCTTAATACTGCAATTGGCTTGGTAGAGAATTTCAGTAGAGTGGCGATCATAATGAGATGCCGTCACCTGTTTCTTAGCTCTTTCAATATCTTGTTACGACACCGTTACGAGACGATAACCCCTGTAATATAGATAACAAAACACGCAGCAACAAATGCTTATTGTTCTAAGCCGCTGAGATACATTTACTAGGCGCTAGGGTTAAGAATACTAAGGGCCAGCGCTAACCAGCGGCTGGGAAGGCAGAGGATATTAAATTTATCAATGTATATTTTATGTTATATTAATTGAAATAAGGTATAAATTTCAATGTTCTGAAACCAACCTCAGAGTATCGCAGATCTTTACAGTATTGGAAAGCACGCTAGAGGATATCGCGGCGGGAGGCGTCAATATACTTACGATGGAATCCACTGGTTATGCGTCAGACAGAGTCTGTTTGAAATCTGAATGCGCTGGGCTAGCGGCAAACACACACATAGGAGGGAGTGGACGCTGCGGTGCGCTGGCGTTAACTCGCGTTATTCCTTATCAGTGTGCGCGGAGTGGCATAGGATTCTCTTCAATGCTCTCCTCGCCGTCTGTCGTAGGTTTGTGCTGGTCCTTAGAGGGTAGGTAAGGCTACTAATGTATCGCATGCGATAAGTATGGTTCAAAGCCGGAAGGGTCAAGCTTGATGTGTTCTGAACTATAGAAATATTTATAACATACTACGTATTTCTTAAACATTTTAAATATTCTTTTAACTTTTGTCATCCTTTCAACGGTAGATATTTACCTACATCGTCTCAAAAGCGTCATTTACTAGAGTTTTTTTTTAACAAAGATCAAACTTTTTACAATGATTTTATCCATCTATTAGGTATTCTTTCAGTTTTATTACATAACGAACAAATGGTAAATAATATATGTCGAGATCGTAAGGAGAGAATTTTCTTTTGAGATATGATCATTGCTGCTTAACCAGTAAATAAAAAAAACAAGAACTTATATAGTTTTTAAAGAAGTTTCTAATCTGAAATTATATTTGTATTTCAGCACTTACTATTATATAAAAAGGTGTGACCGTTTTTCAGCAATGAAACTTTGTACCTAATATAATTTATAATTACCAAAATTTTATTGTAGTCGTCACAATGTAAGAGGCCCAATTTGACAACGATAGTATGTAACTTTGAATGCAATCAACGTAACATTAAACAAACCAATTACTAATTTGACATACATTTTAATGAATGAGTGAAGTGCTTCAAAATGAATATTAAATATTATTTCAAGTGTTATTTTCGCAAAATAAAATGCAATTTTGAGTTAATCCAAAGCGTCTTAAAAACAGTCACGTCCTTAATATAATTTCTTTAAATAATAGTCTTGTAACAAATTAATAGCCAAATTTTAATTTCATTTTAACAAATATCGATTTTTTGCTTTTGACAGAGATGTTAACATTGTTAATATGATTGAAAATCAAATATTATACATACAGGTGATACTAGCCATAGACAAGTACTAGAATAACTCTTAATACTCAAGAACACATTGTTACGCAATGGAACACGTGTTTCGCAAGGAATAGCAACCGACGACTACTAGCTACGAACTCGCCTCGTCGTGCCAAACACCAGGCGCCAGTCGCTCGAGTTTTATTCACCATTTTGAGGAACCCACGCTTTAGAAATTATTGCGAATAGTTAACATTTTAAAACAGGAAAACAATCGGATTTTTTAAATTTTATTTCACAATTTTTTATTTATTTATTTATTTGTGTTCAGGTTACAAAGATCCAGAAATACATACCTTATAGACTAACATACATATTAATAAAAAAAACACTCATATAATTTATACCTTAAGGAATAACATACATATAATAAAACACTATTTCTAATTAATCTACATGAATTGCACTTGTCGGCGACGTGTGGCGCAATCTGGTGTCAGGGAACCGGCCACGGAATCGCTGATAAATGACACCCTTCGGCCAAAACTCTACCTTCATGAAGGTTGATAGATGTTCGGTCGGCACCCTCACCACAAACGAATTGAAATTTTCGTGTTGTGTTACTAACTAATGTGTTGTGTTACTGGATCTTACGCAGAGGAAAACATAGCCAGTAATTTTTTTTCACCCTGTATAAGTAAGTACGTAGTTATTACTCTTTGACGCATTTGTGTGCATCGAATCCAACATATACTTCGCATGTATGAAGGTATTGCCAATTTATTTTCTATTCAATCCTATGTGTATTGAGTTGACACTCACATCACATTCGCTCACGACCGTTAGTCGGCATTAATCACGTGAAGTTTTTTTGTAACTAGTAGGTATACATACATTATAAAATGTTGATTTGGTGTATAAATTTATAAATTAATAAATTAATAAGTTGTGGTTATTTTATTGTAGGTAATGAAACTGACAAAGATCAGTAACTATGGAAGGTATAGAAAAATTGATTCCAACGGATGCGGAAACCACTTTGGTTTTCTTCTTGAACGGAAAGAAGGTAACAATTTTATGCGATTTAATATGAGACACTAACATACGATTCTATCACCCTTGCTTGCAGTGGCTGATTTGCATTCTTGGGCACCCTAGACCATAGGCCATGTAGTCTACATAAGTACTGGTAGACTACATAATGAATTTACTTTATTGCCAACTTTTATCGAAATCGATTGAAATGTACTACTTTAAAATTTCTAATAATTTTAATATTTTTCTAGAACATTGACTTGATATTATCTCTGTTTGCCAGCCGCCATGATTTTTTCCGACATCTTGTACATTTATCGTCATATTTCAGCCAACTTACACAAAACTTAAATAAATTATACACTTAAACCTTCCTCATGAATCACTCTGTCTATTGGTGGAAACCGCATGAAAATCCTTTCAGTAGTCTTTGAGTTTATGCCGATCAGACAAACAGACAGACAGACGCGGTAGTAATAAACGTAGCGGTGTAGCGATTATATATTACATTATAGATATGTAATATATATATTTATACATAGAATGTACGAAAGTGATATAAGAAGATTATTGTTATGCGATGCGGTGCAGTGCGGCCCTCTATAATGTGCGTAAACCTTTGGAATATTTAGGTACTTTGAGTTATTTCTTGCTATCATTAGTGAATTTTATGTCACGATTGGCCGCCCCTAAAATGTGGCAGCCCTAGGCCCGGGCCTACTGGGCCTTAGGGTAAATCCGCCACTGCTTGTTTGACAGTATTCAGGCGAGGATTTGAATATTTGAATGCGAGCCTAGATTTTAGGAGCGACGAGGCCTCCCTTTGCACCCCGCAATCTGCGCTTGCAAATTTAGAATTAATATGAATAAAATAAGAACAGGCGGAGAAAATTTTATACAAATCCGACGACAAGCCAAGACAGCCAAGACAGGCGCCCGATTGCAACTGACGGGGCTGCGGGCAGCGCGGCGTCTCCTTAAACCGCTGCATGGGCAATTTTGAAGTCCTTTTTTTATATAAAAAATAAGTGCACATTTGGGATGAGTTTGAATTTAATAACTACAGGTTGTAAGTTGAAAATCAAAATTCAGCAGGTTCATTTTAATCTTTTATTTTATCCTGTTTTCAGGATTTTATAAGATCGAGTAAAGTATATCGTGTATCGAATTAGCACATTCTTTAGACATATTGTCTAAAATGTCTTGGGTGTATCGTATATTTTTTATAAAACCGTTATTTAATGGTAAAATACCTAAACCGTTTGATGTAGTTAAACAGTTTTTCTCGCTTCTCCTCCGGCGACACGCCTTAAAATTTTATTAGAGCGAGTATCACAGTATTCTCGTGCTACAATGAAATAACTTTTGTATTTAACATTTGTAGCACGAGAATACTGTGATGAACACCTTAATTTTTTCAAATTATATTTACAACCTGTAGGTACAACTAAAATAATAATGTAATAAATAATTGTAAATTAAAGACACTGTCTGTGGTAACAACCCTACGCTTCGAGATAAGTGTAGCATTTACGCGCCGAAACGCGGGACTTGCCCTACTATAAAGCTCTTATTGTGCTATGTATAAGCGAGATAATTCCGGATTTCCAATATGCTCTATTTGTGACCGTTAAAAATATTAGTTTGTCTTCATTGACCTACCAAATTCTCTTGCCTAAAGTTTCATAAGATGTACAACATCTTGTGCAAGTTTTATACTAAAATAGCTGTTACCGTGTCTGAAAGAACTCAATTAGTCTGTATTTAGGAAAAATACATTTTACATATAGAATTCCGATTTACGTCAGTGGCGTAATATAATAGTTACCCGGTATGCTCTAGTAAAATGAAAATGAAACAAAAAAATAAATAAACGTAATAAAGCAAAAAATAAATTTCAATCCAGGTTGTAGAACTGTCTCCTGATCCAGAGTGGACATTACTGTGGTATCTTCGTCGCAAACTTCAACTGACTGGCACCAAATACGGGAGAGGGATGCGGTGTTTGCACTGTTATGGTCTCCCAGTACGTAAGAAATGAAAACCGAATCAAGTATCCTTTTAGAAAAGTAGTATGTTTAGTTTTTAATATGGTGGCTACACAAATGTTTAATATTAATAAATAGAATATTTTTTTAAACATCTGCATAAAAATAATTGCGTAGATTTCTAGTGAGTACCTATTTTGCATATTTTTTCAGTCTAAATCTTGTTAATGTCACTGCTTTTAACGCAATATAAGCCATTGAATGGAGATTAATGCAAAAGATAAACTACCTTCCGACATTAAAAATAAGTAATACTTCCCAGCTCGTCCTTGGTGATTCCTAAGTTTTCTTTCCCGGGTTTTAAATTTCTCGCGGTTATTGATAGGGACTTTATTACGGGTTGTTAAGGTTTTTCCAATTCTTTTACATGATTTAGGATTTTATTGACTCTCTACCTTCAGGCACATAGCTGTAAACGCATTTTGACCCCAGTGTGTGCTATGCACGGTCTAGCAATTACAACAGTCGAAGGGATTGGATCCACACAAGATCGATTACACCCGGTGCAGGAACGCATTGCTAAATCTCATGGGTCTCAATGTGGATTCTGCACTCCCGGTATCGTCATGTCCATGTACACTCTACTTAGAAATAAGCAAAAGGTAGAATATAAAGATATAGAAACATCAACTACAAGGGAATCTCTGTAGGTGTACTGGTTATAGACCAATCATTGAAGGATTCAAAACTTTTAAGGAAGGATGGGTAAGATCTTATACAAATGACAATACAAACACCTGTGCAATGGGAAAAGCTTGTTGTCGCAATAAAAAGGGTGAATGTAAGGAACAAACACTGTTTAAGACGTCAGCATTTTAGCCGTATGATTCTGTGTTGAGTCCATATTCCCGCCAGAATTAAAGTTGATTGATAATTATAGTGACTCATTTACCTTTTATAAAGGTGAAAATGTAGTATGGATTAGGCCAAAAACCTTAAATGATTTACTTGTAATTAAAAGTAATTTTCCAGAGAGTAAGATAGTAACTGGTAATACTGAAATAGGAGTGGAAATGAAATTTAAGAAAAGGGTTTATCCGATTTTACTACATCCACAATTGATTAAAGAAATGAGCGTTTGTAAATTTACAAATGGAGGAATTGTAATTGGTGCAAATATTAATTTAAGCGATTTACATGACATATTGAAAATTAAAATTGCAAAGAATATAGCAAAGGGAAAGACGTTTGTAGCTATCACGGAAATGCTTGATTGGTTTGCTGGCAGTCAGGTGCGCAACGTAGCTACTCTAGTTGGCAATATAGTGACAGCAAGTCCAATATCAGATCTGAATCCCATATTGATGAGTTGTTCTGCAATTCTTAATGTTTACAGTATACAAAAAGGCCACAGAAATATAACAATTGACGAAGATTTCTTTGAAGGCTACAGTAAAACAGCAATAAAAAATGACGAAGTTGTTATATCGGTGGAAATTCCTGTTACAAAAGATAGATAATTTGTCAAAGCTTACAAACAAGCAAGAAGAAGAGACGATGATATATCGATTGTTACCGCAGCTTTCAATGTAACGCTCGAAGATAATACTTTGATAAAAGACGCAAGGCTGTGTTTCGGTGGTATGGGACCAACAACTATTTTTGCAAAGAATACATCATATTCCCTAAAAAGTATACACTGGAGTGAACAAACTCTTCATTTTGTATTCGATGCTTTGACTCGAGAATTGGAACTTGATGCATCTGCACCTGGTGGTATGGTTGATTATCGCAAATCATTGTGTTTGAGTCTCTTCTACAAGTTTTTCGTTTATGTATTACAGACTATATACCACAAAGTAAATTATCACAATGGAATGGATAAGGAAATAAGCGCCGTTGATTACTTACCCACAATGGAACCTATGGGTTCCCAGTATTTTGAAATACAAAACAATAATAGGAATGCTTCTGATTCTGTTGGCCAACCTATACCCCATGCATCCGCGCTGAAGCATGCAACAGGTGAAGCTATTTATTGTGACGATATACAGCAAGTTAATGGAGAGTTGTTTCTCACATTAGTATTTAGTACCGAAGCACATGCAAATATAACAAATATTGATGCTAGTGAAGCTTTAGCTGTACCTGGAGTAGTAGCATTTCTATCAGCTAAAGACTTAGACGAAGAAGGAAATAAAATGGGTCCAATATTCAAAGATGAAGAAATATTTTCAAGGCACATAGTTACTAGCCGTAATTGTGTTATTGGAGCTGTCGTTGCTACTACTGAAGGCATAGCTAGGAAAGCCAAAGATTTAGTATCGGTGACTTATGAAAAACTTAAACCTGTAATTATTAGTTTAGAAGATGCGATTGCTCACAAATGTTTCTTTGATGGTTATCCTAGAACGCTAAAAAAGGGTAATGTTAAAGAAGTATTTAGACATCCCAAATGTAATAAAGAGGGCATTATGAGAAGTGGAGCACAGGAGCATTTTTATTTAGAAACTATATCTGCATTTGCAATCAGAAAAGAAGATGAATTGGAAATAATCAGTACAACACAAAACCCAGCCGACAATGCCGTAAGTAAAAAAATATTTTAGAATTTCGATTGATGATGTCAAAAGGAAGGATAACTACATGGAGTTATTTACGAATTCTTATGCTTGTTTTAGCGTATAGCCTCAAAAGCTCTCCACATACCGAACCACAAAGTTGTATCTAAAGTTAAGAGAATCGGGGGAGGGTTTGGGGGCAAGGAAACCAGAGCCGCTGTTTTGGCAGTGCCTGTTGCGGTGGCAGCTTATAAACTGAAGAAGCCTATACGAGCTGTTTTAGAAAGGGAGGAAGATATGCAAGTAACAGGTTATAGACATCCTTGCCTCATTAAATACAAAGTAGCGTTCAACGACGATGGAAAGATAGCAGGAGCTACATTCGACATTTATGCTAATGCTGGAAATCACATGGATATATCATGTTCGGTAGGTTACCAAATATACGTATATTAAGGTACTAATCTACTACTAAACTAAGAGGTGAAACTTGCAGGTGCAATTTACACGTATCCTTATTGTTTTTCAGATGATGGAGCGTGCTATAATGCACGTTGATAACTGTTACTTTATACCAAATGTAGAGATAAACGGATACGTTTGCAAAACAAACATGCCTTCGAACACCGCATTTAGAGGTTTTGGTGCACCTAAAGCAATGTTAGCGGCAGAGTGTATGATCAGAGACATCGCATCGACTCTGGGTAAAAATTATGAAGAAATAGCTCAGTTGAATCTTTACGATGAGGGAAAATTGACACATTTTAATCAGCAACTTAAGTATTGTACTTTATTGAGATGTTGGTATGAATGTATTGAAACTTCTGACTATTACAGAAGAAAGGACGAAGTGGAAGAGTTTAACAGGTAGTGGGTTATAAGAATTCCTTAAGAATAAAAACCTAATAATATGGAATATTCCGTAATTTTCTTTTAAAAATTTTAATTTGCAGGTATAACAGGTGGAAGAAGAAAGGAATTGCCATGGTACCGACAAAATACGGTGTCTCCTTTCAAAATGATCTTCTTAAGCAAGGAGGTGCACTGCTGTTACTTTACAACGATGGATCAGTTCTTTTATTCATTGGAGGTATAGAGATGGGTCAAGGTCTGTTTACTAAAATGATACAAGTAGCGTCAAAGGCTTTAAACATCGATGTTTCCCTAATTTATATTAGTGAAATGGCTACAGATAAAGTACCAAATAGCTCGCCTACCGCCGGCAGTATAAGCTCCGATTTGTATGGTATGGCTGTTATCAACGCTTGTAATACCGTGAAAGAAAGATTACAACCTTACAAAGCAAAAAATCCAAATGGCAAATGGGAACATTGGGTTTTAGCAGCATATCAAGACATAAAATTGAACACAATCGTGGAACAAATTCTGGGAATTTGTATGAATATTTCACATATGGGTGTGCGTGCTCTGAAGTTATTGTAGATTGTCTAACAGGAGATCATCAAGTGTTAAGAACGGATATCGTGATGGATGTAGGTGAAAGTTTAAACCCAGCTATTGATATTGGTCAAATAGAAGGGGCATTCACTCAAGGTTATGGATTTTATACGTTAGAAGAAATAGTATTTTCGCCAAGTGGCGAACTTTTGTCTCGTGGACCAGGGACTTACAAAATTCCTGGATTTTCTGACGTACCAAAGATTTTTAACGTTTCGTTATTGAAAGGAGCTCCTAATCCTAGAGCTGTATCTTCTTCCAAGGTAAGGCCGACCTCAGTCGGTTTATTCACTTTCTCAGTAAGCATTTTAAAGATTTAGAAAAATGTTTATCAATTTGTAGGCTGTCGGGGAGCCACCATTGTTCCTAGCTGCGTCAATATTTTTCGCAATTAAAGAAGCAATAAAGTCAGCTCGCAATGACGCAGGTGTGATGCCTGACTTTACGTTGGAAGTACCTGCAACATGTGCTCGTATTAGAATGGCCTGTGAAGATGACATTACTAGACAGGTAAGAAAAAATACAACTCTTATTAATTTTGTAGCTCAGCAACTATTAAGACAAACAAAGTGCAACTTTAATGTACGAGGTGCATCACTATGCACTATGAATTTTATAAATATTATTCATTATTATTATTATACTCACAAAATATAAAATAAATTAAATGCATAAGTATTTGTTGCATCTAAGGCAGTTTTACATAAGGAGATACTTACTGTAAATTAAAACAAAATCCAGAAGTGAGTCAGACGCTGGTTGTTAGTGCTGCCAAGTCGATGTGTCAAAATGGGGGCGCAGAAGTGTAAAAAACCGGCACATGATTATCCACGTCGCAAACAGTTAAAATTATGTTTTTATGATCTTATTTACTTACAATTAGGTAATAAATTCCATGTAATAAATAATAAGTACGAAGTAACAAAAATAAATTTAACATATTAAAAAAAAAGTATTAAATATGTGTTTCGTCTCTCGTGATGATTGCGAAAGGCTGGTGTCAAAGTGCTTTTCCACCGGCGAGAAGAGACGAGACGAGGCGATGCGAGAATTGAAATCTCGCCGACCTATTTCCACCAAAAATTGTCATCACGAGCTCGCGTTATGGTTATGGATAGGGAAGACACAGTGCTGTTCAATTCGTCTAGCGATAAACACGCGGCTAAAGTACCATGTCCCGCAAATTCTTATTATTAAATATGTTAACGGAAGAAGAATCAGATGAAGATACTGTAATAAGAAATAATCATGTTGTAATATAAGCTGTTTCTACCCTCTAAGATAAAATAAATAAATAATAAATAAAAATAAAAAGAACTTTTTCGAAAATAACTTTTTTTATTATCTTTTATCCCAGTGCAAATATTTAGAACTAGCAAAATACACATAAAAAAGTTTACAACTGGCGCTGATATGTTTCCATTGTATTACAACTATATTGCGTATATATATTTTTGAAAACGCTGCAATGTTTTAAAAGTGGTTACATAATTATGATAAAATCACAATCCTAACCGTGTACATTTTAATGCTTTGTATAAATATTTACGAAAATGATATGGATGCATGTATGACACCAGGACTATATTTTTTTTTACTGTAGTTTGTTTATTTTTCTTTGAAATAAAAGTATACCTGTTTTTAAAATAGTGTCGTGACTACTTATTTTTGAAAACCACAATGTACATTTTTTTAAATATTTAATATTTAACCGAAGACGCGCTAGGAGAGAATTGATAGTTTGCCACACAAGTTTTAAAAATCGTGTCGCCTCGCTGGTGGAAATACACCCTTAAAATTTGGATTTTCCGTGTAAATCGCATTACCTGGCGATATACGTTGTTACATACCTTACATTACTATACATATATTATGTGGAAAATTCTTCGAACATAACAAGGGTACTCGTAACCTGTATCATCATCCGTATTACGTAATAGACTGACATATAGTGATAATGATGAATGACTTAATGCGTAGGCATTCCCTGCCACTCAACCGGAGAGCTGGGTTCAGACTAATTAACAGGGGTAACATACCATGACAAATAAAAACAGATAGGATCAAAGTTTGTAGATAAGTATAACACAAATAATTTACAGACAACATAAATATACATATAATCCATTATTAACTGTATCCATATTATGAATAATATGTATACAATGCGTAACATACTTACATTAACAATTAGGTTGGTATGTATATTATTTAACCAGTGTACCCGTTATGAAATCTTAGAATTTATATATAGATGTAGTAGGTCAATGTCGACGTATTATACAGGGTGGAAATTTGTAATGCCACCTAGAGGGAAACAGAAATAGAAAGAAATAGAAATAGAAATTTAATTAAATTTAATTTAGAGATAGAAATTTTTACTTAAAGGAAACATTCCTATATTCTTTAAAATAAATAAAACTGCATTCATAGATTTTCGAAAATTTCTAGCAACACGCGGGAATTGAACCCGCTTTAATCTGAAAAAATGCACCCTGCACTTTTATTGCATCGATCGATAGGGTTAATTATAAGAATAAAATCTCTCTCACAAAATTGGTTAATTAAATGAAAAAAAAAAACCATGCAACCTTAACGTATTTTAATAAAACGAAAAAAAGGTAATCTAACTAATTAGTTGCTCGAAATGAGCTCCATTTTCTTGGATAAACAAATTTAATCTTTTAACGAATTCATTTTGAAGGCTGAGGTTCAGAATACGATTTGTAATACAATTCATCACAACACGTTATTAAAAGTTACTAATTATATATATATATATAATTAGTAACTTTTAATTTAATATTAAACTCTTATATATATATCTTATATACTTATATGTATATATATATAAACTCTTAAGCGTTTAAATCAAAACTTTTATGGATGTAATTGTTTTGTATCATGCCCCGTCTAACGAAAGAGTGTTGGGGTTGGGGTTAATAATAACACGCACACTCAACATAGTCCCGCACTAGGGAAACCCTGTGTCCCGGGTGCCATGGACATACATATTCGCAATCACAAATTACACTCAAACTCACAAGAGAAATAAACGTAGGCCACACAAATATTTCTCCCAGCCTGGGAATCGAACCTGGGACCTCTGCGTGGCAGTCGGGCATGGTAACCTTTCGGCCACGGAGACAGTTAATAATAATAATAATAATAAAATGAACATTATTTTAATTTTCCATTTACACTTGTATTTGTTTCAGGTGAAGCCAACAATCAAACAAAGCGGAAAACCTTGGAATGTAATGGTATAGCAAAAAAAGCGTGTGTTCTTTGTAAAATTGTTTTTTAAAATGACGCTGTAATGTATATTTTCTTTTTACAACAAATACTCATATTCCCAATTGTAGGTATATTAGTAGTTTTTAGTATTATATAAATGAAATTTAACAATGAAATGGATATTCCTACATCAACATTTTAATACGTTATTTCCATCTAAGCTTTTGAATAAATATAATATTATGTTGTAGCTAGTCTACCTATGTATAAGCATAAATAAAATGGAAAATATTATTATTTCGAACGATACAGTAGTTATTTTATATGAAGAAAAAAGCAATATAACAGTTGTTGAAGTTACAAACAGGGCGAAATGATAACTGGTACACAACGTTTGACGTTGCTAGCAATAAAGAAGTGGTACCCAGAGCTGCGCATGCGAGATAGGCGACTCAGTTCTGTTTCTAGACTTGAACGCGAGCCTAGATTTTAGGAGGTGACGTATGGCATAGGCCTCCCCGCGCTTGCTGCTATTTGCGCGCTTAAAATTAATATGAATAAAATAAGAGCAGGCGGAGAAAATTTGATACAGATCCGACGTTGGCAAGCGCCCGACGGCGACTGACTGACGGGGCAGCGGGCAGCGCGGCGTGTTGTTAAACCGCTGGGTAATTTTCAAGTCTTGGGATAAATGAGAATTGAACAACTATTGGACTTCAACTGAAAACCAAAATTTTGATGATTGTCTGTAGTATTTAAAGAGAAAACTTTTGCGCAAAGATACATGTTTTATTCTTAAAATAATTATTCGTTTTAGACTCATATTTTATCCTGTTTTCGAGATTTTATATGATCGAGTAAAATACATCTTATCGTGTATCGAATTAGCATATTCTTTAGATAATTTTACCTGAAATACAGGATTCTCCTAGTTCAGGTATGTGTTATATTTAACATTTATTCGCATAATTAGTCTTTAGTTATTCATTTGTATAATAAGTTATTCAATAAACATTTTTTTTATTATTAATATCCTTAGGTGTATCGTATATTTTTATAAGGCCGATATTTAATAGTAAAATACCTAAACCATTGCATAGCAAAACAGTTTTTACCGCTTATCCTACGGTGACTCGCCTTTAGTAAATATTAGTAGATAGTATCTTGTAAAATATGCAAGCAAGGCCTAGTTCACGATTCTGGGACGAGACAATCATTCTTAAAAAAAGTTCAAAGTAGTTGATATACAATAATGGAAAATATTCTATTGTTTATAGGTGAAAATAGCGTGGACCGAGAAAATAACAAATTAAAACGTTTTGAAAAGGGTTAGCGAAAAGAGAAATCTGTTTAAAGCAAAATAAATCATAAGGGGGAATGTTTGGACATTTGCTACGTAATGACGAATTCATAAAGGTTATAAATGAGGGGAAGATAAAAAGAAAAAGGAGATTCCATAGCTTTTGCTATACATATCTCTGGATAAACATTTAACTTTTGAATCGAGCCGTGACACAGTATTAATACAACTAAAAGTTTCGTTACTAGGATTGCCTAGACTATATTACATTTCATTGGAAAGTCGGTTTGTATTTATGAAATTAACGCTAGTCTATAAGAGAACGACAAATATATACCACTTGTTCTCAGGCTGTAGGCGAGTCATCTTTATTCATGGTGAACATTTTTTTACCTTCTTCCGCCATCAAGGAGGCTAGGCGCTCGCAAAGATTTGGGATTGTGACTGGAGTTCCACCTGGAGACTTCAGCTACCCCCGCATTATGCACAAGAGTGTCGTGGGAAGATCATATCACTAAGAAGGTAATTAAACAATTATAATAATCGTAGAAACTTTCAATTGTCGTTAGTATTCACGAACTGTAACAAAAGTTATGACTTAGAAAAATGAAATTTGTACTTACATTCTTTATTTTAATTACAGTCGTTATTATAATCACCTTTTAGTGAATACGTACTACCTACAACTAATTATAAGAAATAAAAGGTAAGTATTCGTATAGATGCAAAGGAGTTTGTTTAAAATATATATATATATATATATATATATATATATATATATATATATATA